GTGCGCTGCATCCTGCTAAGGGTTTTCGGCATCTTGTGCTTACTTCCTTGCGTACGGATGACAGCTGCGTATGACTTAATTTATTTCACTTCCAGAGACAGTTGTAAGCACTGTGTAACTGCCTCGAGGGTGCTTGACCACTTTAACACAACGTGGTGCGATCATCCCCCTTGCGCGGAGCGAGGGTTCTCCACCCTGCACAACATGATCTACTCGAACACCATTATGGTTACCGCCCCAAAAAAAAAAACGGAGGTAAAAAAAAAAAAACGGTAACCTGGTTGCCCGAGTTCACGAAGTGAATTGGCTTGTTTTACAGCGTCTTTGCCAAGCAACGAAAACCCAATCCCGATGGCAAACACCGAGGGGGACGGCTTGTTTTACAATGTCGTTGCCAAGCGACGAAAACCCAACCCCGATGGTAAACACCGAGGGGGACGGCTTGTTTTACAACGTCGTTGCCAAGCGACGAAAACCCATCCCCGATGGCAAACACCGAGGGGGAAGAGGGGGGGGTGATATGTTGCATGCCTTAGCGGTTAGATCGTTGACTGCGCGTCCTCGAGAGGACGAAGGGTTGTTCCACTAGGACCGATCGCCGATGGCCACTCGTTCCTTCCTACTTTGCCAAAGGTGGCTCATTAATGTTTTTCCTAGCCGATCTATATCCTATCGATATCACTTCCCGCCTTTTCAGCCCACTTCCAATGCCCGAGAGGATAGGCACCGTCTTCTCCTGGCCATTCCATTCCTCCCTTCTATTCTCGCAGCTCAGTCGTGTACACTTCCTCCTCCTTCTTGTGCATCGGACATTCCGCAGCTGCATGAATCCGGTCTTCGCGCTCGGAGCCGCATTCTTCACATTTGAACGTGTCGTCGTCATCGCCTACCTTCCTATATCTTGGTCAGCGTCCTCGAAGGCGATGTCCCCAGTCCTAAATTTGGCGTCCGGTTTTGTCCCTACATCCATTGGTCCATGAAGGTACTCGTTGAACCCTTTTCCTTCTTTCAACATTCCGTACATATCTAGAACCAACCTCCTCATCCTTGGTTTCTTTGGTTAGACTAGATTATGTTATCTCTCTCGGCAAAGCAACAGATACCTTCTTAACCCGTCTAGGCCTACCGATTCCAATGTACCAACTTCGTCCATTCCGACGTCCTTCCATACGTCACCGATAACTTTAGCCCGCTCCGCGGGTTCTCTATGCACCCCTCTTCTTGTTTGCCCACTTCGCCTCCCAAGTTAATTTTGGCAACCTCTTCTCTCCCATAAGGTACATAAGATACTGCCATTTTAACTTCCTCACGTCTCCTCCCGATCGTAGGGATTGGGTCCCCAGTTCTAACCTTACTGCTGCCCTACTTTTTGTGCGCATGGAGCATCCTAGGATGGTTTTCGCTGCTTTCATCTGCCCCCCCTCGAGGCCCTACTTTGTGTGCTCTTGGTGCATCCTAGGATGGTTTTCGCTGCTTTCAACTGCGCCCCCTCGAGCTCTACCTTCTAATTTCCCTCCCATGCTTCTCCCGCGTGCTCTAGCGGCGCGACGAATCCGCTCTTCACAAATGTCAATTTGATGCGGGTATCCAGGTGCCGGTTTGCAAGTACTAGGTGCAACTTGTCAGCGTAATTTCGCTGTGCACTAGCAGCAGTACGATGCTGCAGATTCCAGGAGGCTGTGTAGCCTACCTCAGAGGTTCACACACTGTGCGGCTCCAACCGCGAGAGACTTGGAATGGAAATCTGAGGATGTTTTAATTAATTGGTGACTCCCGAGTCAGATTGATGTTGCTGGTACTGAAAAGAAGTGAGAGGGGCGGTGAGCTTAGGGCTGCACCACTCTTCTCGAATACCGGACAAATACGCCAATCACACGAAAGATCAAGAATGCTTCCAGAATGATTTCTGGAAGCCCTCTTACGTTCTAGAAAAGTAACAAGTGCAACCTAGGTCTAGTACGCTTCCAGAAGCTTACAGAAGGTTTCAGAAGTTTCCAGATGGTTTCCAGAAGCTACGCACGTTCTACGTAGATGTCCCGGTCGACCTTGACCTAGCATGCTTCCGGAATATTTCTAGAGCAAGAGAATGCATGCCACGGAGAGATACTACTGCTACGCAGACTAGTTGCTGCAATCGTATTCAAAGGTCAAACCGTGTCCGACTACTGGTGATCTCGACGCACGATTTTCCTGACACAACTTCCGTGCTCCCTCTTTGCCCTGTTCCGCTACTACTTTTGACATGAATGTGTGCACTCCATCTACCACTTTTTGGGATCTCTAATCCGAGATATGTGTACTGATCCACAACTAGGAGCTCCTCGACCCCCCACGTGCTCCCATACTTTACTGGTTTCTCCCTATCTCCGTCGTACACAATTCATAACGACAGCAATCTCCACGTATGGTCGGCAAAATCCTTCGCCGGGTCAATCTGCAGTTGAAGACCCAAGGGATCCCAACAAATAATCCGCAAACAACATTGTTCCCGACTCCAAAGTCTCTCCTCTCCCTTTGCTCCCTTCGCAACTGCGTCTTCGACTTCCAACATATCGTTGATGAACCCCTGAAACAGTGTCGGGGACAAAGTGCAACCGTGTGGACCCCCTGGTCAATGTTGAAGAAGTTGGACAGTTCTCCGTCTAGCATGACGGGGCTTTTCGTTCACTCTGTCATCTTCTTCAGCGCTCTTTCCAAAAAGCCCACGTCTGTCTCCTTGCTGCATCGTGCGCTTTTTTCGCGTCCAAGAAAAAGCAGTACGTCGGCAGCCCCGCCATCTTCCGATCTTGTAGGATTCTCCCTAAAGTTAAAACGTATGTGCTCTACGTACTCCCTGTTCTTCCGGAAGCTTAGCCTTCTTGGCCATTATTTATCCTACGTTCCTCTCCAATGCTCTAACTAATAATACATAGCTATCCCATCATTCCGCAGCCTATAACAACAGTTTTTTTCATACGATGATGTTCAACAGTGTGACCCCCCTAAAGTTTCCTGGGTCAGTCGTACCCCTTCTGAAACACGTTCACAATTAACAAGTTGTACAGCAGCACCATCAACTGAACCATCCCCTTCACTCCAAACTTCATGAACGTACTCGTTGACTATCCCGTCCGCGCCTGCTACATTATGGCACTGCTGTTTTTCACACAACCAACTGTTCAACCTCGTTCGCTGTAAACTCCTTCTCTAGCTCTCTCTACGTTCTTTCCCAAATTCTACCTTTGATACCTCTTCTAGGCCCATGTGTCCACCTTCTTCCTAAACACTTGGTCTAGAGCTTCATTCTCCGATGGCACTTCTAAGGCTTTGTAGTGCCCTGTCAGAACCCCCTTTTACCCTTCCCACTGCTGACCCCCCCCCTCCCCCGAGGAGGCTCCCAACACAAATGGGCCCCCTCGGTGCCGGTGTTTGCCATCGGGGTTGGATTTTCGTCGCTTGGCAGCGATGTTGAAAAACAAGCGAATTCACTTCGTGAACTCGGCAACCAGGTTACCGCTTTTTTTTTTGCCTTTTTTTGTTTTTGCGGTATCCCATGATGAAGGTCGAGTAGATTATGGTGTACAGGGTCGAAAACCCTCACCCCGCGCAAAGGAGATAATCGCACTACGTTGTGTTAGAGTGGTCAAGCACCCTCGAGGCAGTTACACCGTGCTTACAACTGTCTCTGGAAGTGAAAGCACCGGAAAAAAAATAAAAGCATACGCAGCTGTCATCCCTATGCAAGGAAGTAAGCACAAGATGCCGAACACCCTCAGCAGGATGCAGCGCACCCTTAATGCGACTCGCCGAATACCTCACGGCGCTTCGCGCTTGGGTGATGTGAGAGCCTGGTCCGGTGAGAACCCGGCGTGCTCCGTCCCAGCTTTGTACGGATGCGAGGTCGACTACAGCGTGCACGACTATGAGTACCCCCCCCACACACACACACTGCTGGCCAGTCCGTCCACCGTCCACACCTCGCCATGGTGCTACCCCTCCTGGTATTCCCCCCTTGCGCTATATTTTTTCCATCCCACTCTACTGTCAGGAAATCGTGCGTCGAGACCACCAGTAGTCGGACACGGTTTGACCTTTGAATACGATTGCAGCAACTAGTCTGCGTAGCAGTAGAAAATAATCCATCTCTCCGTGGCATGTATTCTCTTGTTCTAGAAATATTCCGGAAGCATGCTAGGTCAAGGTTGACCGGGACATCTACGTAGAACGTGTGTAGCTTCTGGAAGCCTTCTGGAAACTTCTGAAACCTTCTGTAAGCTTCTGGAAGCGTTCTAGATCTAGGTTGCAGTTGATACTCTTCTAGAACGTAGGAGGGCTTCTAGAAATCATTCTGGAAGCATTCTGGATCTTTCGTGTGATTGGCTGTTTTGTCCGGTATTCGAGAAGAGTGGTGCAGCCCTAAGCTCGCCACTCTCACTCCTCTTCAGTACCAGCAACATCTGACTCGGGAGTCAGCAACTAATAAAAGCATCCTCAGATTTCCATTCCAAGTCTCTCGCGGTTGGAGACGCACAGAGTGTGAACCTCTGAGGTAGGCTACACAGCCTCCTGGCATCTGCAGCATCGTACTGCTGCTAGTGCACAGCGAAATATCGCTGACAGGTTATGAGCCTCGGTTAACGCACACACTACGAGCTGCGAACATCACGGGACGATCAAGGCAACCTCTTCTCGGGACATCAACCTTCATCCGTGGACAACGAGAGAACCTGGTTTCGGAGATTTCTGGAGATTGCGACGCCGTCATCGGTCAACGGCAACACAAGCAAACGCGCAAACTTGGTCATCTACACCAAGGTGCTGAGGGTTCACGTCGTATACACTCGTTACCACCCCTGCGGCAGAAGTGGGTATCTCTGTGGTGAACTAGCAGCAAGGGTCACGTGCGCGGGAGTCTCGAGTGGCATACGCATCGGGTGTACAAGGAAGTACACTGTATCATCAGTGGAGGCGATCAACAACCGGAGTCCTCTATATCAGTAGCAGGAACGGGGTGGGGAAGTATCGGGTACAGGCAGTAGTTCCACGAGCAAACTTACTCCTACAGCAGGAAGTACTTTTATCAAGACGAAGGAAATAAAGCTGGAACGAGCAATGGATACTGCAACGAGCAACACAGGAGGTGGAAGCGCGTTCGCCAGCGATAGTTCTACGAACCTGGCAACCGTGATCAAAGGCCTCAAGAAATTCGACGGAAAGGACCCAGCTGAGTTCAAGACATGGATGAAGAAATTCTGCGTGGTGTTAGGTGTGACCAGGAAGGACATCCTGCCACTGCTGAAGAAACAAAGGAAGCCAGATCCCGCAGACACAGCGGCCTTCGACTCCTACACAAGGGCAAACGAAGATCTCTACGCCATTCTTTTCCTCATCGTGGAACTTCCAGCTGCCTTGTCGATACAGAAGCACGAAGACGACACTGGCATCAGCGGCGACGGACAAGCTGCCTTCGAGGAGCTCTGCAACAACTATGACAGGGTAACGGACGAGGTCATCAGGGCCAAGATGGAGGAGCTGGAGAACAACCCCATGAACCCTGGTGAAAATCCCGACGACTACTTCAACCAGAAGCACCTACTTCGCACCCAGCTGGATAAGATGGGAGAACCCATCTCCGACCGCCGATTTAAGGACATCTGCGTACAGGGCTTCTCCGACGAATACAAGGACGTCAAACTGATGGTGTTCAGAGACCCAACCTTCAACGTCCTGGACATGCAATCCACCATGCGCAACATCTTCTTGGACGAACAATCGCGCAAGGGAAGCTGGTCGAGGATTTGCCATGGCAACGACCGCGTCTGACATCATCTGCCACAGCTGCTACGAGCCGGGGCACATCAGGAGTAACTGCCCCAAGATTAAGAACAGGGCGAAGAAGAAAACGAAGCCCGCCGGAGCTACCAAGTGGTGCTCCAAGCACAACACCACGTCTCACTCGGACGAGGAATGCTACCAACAAGGAGGAAAGCGCCCGGAAGACACCAAGGACTCAAGTAAAGCATTCACCGCGTGCTCCAACTGCACTCACTGCTCGTCGGCGTCCAACAAGCACGACTCAAACAATGAAGTGGCAGTTGTCGACTTCACCCGGGACGAGGACGCCTTTGACAGCGGCTTCATGTTCGGCACGTGTTCCCGCATCTCAGGACGCAACTTCGCCGCGAGCTCCACCGGGGTAGGCCTGCTGGTAGACACGGGAGCATCGGAGACCATGTTTGACAATCGCCTCATCCCCGACGGAAACCTCCACGATTACACCCAGCGAAACTCTCCAAAGATCGTGGACGTGGCCGGAGAAAGACAACTCAAAGGCACGGCCACGGGCATCCTACACTGCACCGTCAAGGACAATCGAGGACAGCAATTGCGCGTGCGGATTCAGGGACTCATCGTTCCGGGACTTGGTTGCAACATTTTTTCGCCCCACCTCCCCCCTGAAAAAGGGATTGCGCTGCGTCGTCGAAGGGAGCACGCCGCACCTCACTATCCAAGGCAAGGTGATTCCACTTACACAAGATCCGCGAGACCAAGGCATGTGCACCCTCGACATCACGTTCGAGCAGAACGTCCAGCCATCTGGCACGAAATCCCTCGTGCCCCACCAGAAGCAGTCACAGACCCACACGGCGAACGCCGTCTGCTTTACGCTAGTGAGCGCGGACACCTGGCACAGGAGGCTTGGACATCTCAATGCTCGGAGCCTGGACATCCTTCGGAAGGACACGGGTACCGGGGTGGACTATCGCGACAGTCTCTCCCCTTGCGGGGTCTGCCAGATCGCGAAACACAAGCAGTCCCCCCACCCGAAGCAATCGACTCGCGAACTATCACGGCCTGGACAGTTTGTGGTCATCGACAACATGGGGTCTGTTAATCCACCTGCGAAAAACAAAGGAGGCTCCTTCCCGTACGCGTGCAAGATCACCGACGACTACACGAAGATGAAAGAAGTGTACCTGCTTCGCAAGAAATCTGACACGACCGAGGCGGTGCACACGTACAACATGTGCGTCGCAGCGGCAGGAGGCTACCGGATCGAGACCATCCGCTGCGACAAGGGAGGCGAGAACACCGGATCCGAATTTCGGGACTACTGCAAGAATTCAGCTACCAAGCTCGAATACGCCGCCACCAACACCACTCAACAAATTGGTGTATCGGAACGGGACGGACAAACCCTGGCCGGAGTCACCCGGTGTCTTCTGAAGGATGGAGATTTTCCGCCGTCCATGTGGGGGGAGTTAATGCTGACTGCAGCATACCTGTTGAACAGGTCCCCACACTCAGCACTGGGAGGAGCTACGCCATACTCGAAGTTGCACAATAAGTCACCTGATCTCTCGGGACTTCGGGTCATTGGAGCGCGCGCCTTCGTACACCACGAGAGATACCGAAAGAAGCTGGACGACAGAGCTTTCGAAGGCAAGCTATGTGGTTTCGGCCTCGACAGCCAGACCTACCGGGTATTGAATCCATCCAACGGGGCCGTGGTCGAGAGCCGGAATGTGACTTTCATCGAATCTCCACCCCGCTCAGTGCCCGTCCAGTATTCCACTGAAGCAAACGGGTACGAGAGCGACGTGCTGAGCTTCACCTCCCTGATGGACAGCCCCCACTCGACGAGCGACCTGGACTTCACGGCGCAGAACGAACTCCTTCGGCAAGAGGTTCGGAAGATGCAGCAAGACAATCTCGCTCGGGAGAAGCTTCGCCTAGAACTGGACGGGCACGAGGACGAACATGGAAACGGGCAAGATCTCGGCGACGGGGACGCTCCATCACCACATCTCCCATCGACGCCAGCTGGACCGTCATCCGAGACCCACGCATCTAGCCCCAGTCCATCATCGTCGAACCCGACTGAACCGGACACTTCTGCATCAACTGGATCCTCCGGCATGCGGCGCCTGCAAGTCACCAGAGCCAGCACGCGCGGGAAGCCCACCAGCGACGATCATTTCGACGTCAACTTGGTTCCTGCCAATCTGGAAGTCACCATGAACGACCGCGGTCGAGCCCATGCTACAACGGGCCGCGTGGAGCCATCCGGGCTTCCCTTCACTCAGCTGGCTGAGATAGCCGATCAAGCCCGGCTCCCATGCCCTGGCGATACTGAGGATTTCGCCCACGTTGCGGAAGACCCCTTCACGGTGCCGCGTGCTCACGCCTACGTCACGACCACTCACGAACACCACGGGATCTTGGAGGAGACGAATCAAGCGATCAAAATCCCCAACACCTACGACGAAGCCATGAGCTCTCCCCAGCGCGAAGAATGGACAGGAGCGTGCAGCAAGGAAATGGACGATCTGCGGAAACACAAAGTCTACAATCTGGTGCCCCTCAGCAGCGTTCCCAAGGGAGAGAAGGTCCTCGGAACGAAATTCGTCTTCAAGAACAAGCTGGACGGACGCTTCAAAGCTCGCCTGGTAGTCGGAGGACATCGTCAAGAGCCAGGACAGGACTACGGACGCAGCTACGCACCAGTATGCCGTATCGGGAGCATTCGCATGACGTGCGCCATTGGCTGCCACAACAACTGGCCCATCTACCAACTGGACGTTGTCGGTGCCTTCCTGAACGCCCTCTGCGGTAGAGATGTGCACGTCAGACCCGCCCCCGGTACATCCGCCAAGAACTCCGCGACGGGAGAACCCATGGTGTACAAACTAGAACGGAGCCTCTACGGCCTATCGCAGTCGCCTGCGCTCTGGAACGACACCCTGGACGAATCCCTCACGGTGTTCGGATGGAAAAGGACTCAATCCG